GAGCTACTTAAAGTTAATTCTCATTTAGGTAAAATATGACAACAACTGAGCACATCTTTGTAGGCAAACTATTTAAAACCCGTTTTAAGGTCGTTTATTTACAATGTCAATCATAGCTTTTTTAAAGTAAATTTATTTAACATAATATTGAATGTCAATATAATGTATGTTTTTATTGAAATGAACGCAATATACAATGTCACATTTCATTCTAAAAAAACTCATACACCCTCTTAGATGTTTTGTTATTGCTTTCTTAATTATTATTAGATGTTTAGAATTTATTAGGAAATTATAACAACTCTAGAGCACTTATAATTCCAGGAGAGAAGATTTACTTAAAATACCTGAAATACTTGAATGTTTGGCGTTCTCTTTGAGATTGATGCAACAGCCTCTCCCGCAACGAAAATAGAATGGTTTTTTCGTCCGCGTTCTTCAGATAGACAGGTAGCAATATTTGGTTTTGCTACATATTGTTGTTTAGGAATATCGATGGTCTATAATAGTTGTCTAGCGCCGATATTTATTGGTATTTTAGAAATGTTTGATGATTAAAATTGGTATCACACTACCTAGTTTTTTTTTACTTTGGCACAATGAAAGGATTTGCCAACCAGCATAGCTTCAACCCTCCTAGCACAATTAATTAATACATTTAGGTATTTTTATCAATAATATTTAGTAAATGATATTTTTTGCTAAATGGCTGGGTGAACAAGATTCTTGTGTTCCCAAATAGTATAGTGTTATTTTTAAATATCGATATCACAATATGATTCGAGCTGACAATCGTCACTTTGTACTTGGGTAAATATTTGTAAAGGTGAAACATTGTATTTTAAAACAAGAATTAAACTTTAATCAAACACCATTAATTAAACTTTTACTTCGCTAACTTTTGGCTAAATTAAATATGTATCAACGTCGGAAAGCACTATAAATTTTACCTTCTAAAATATTTAAAATTACTAAATGTTTTTGTGAAACCTTATTTGTTCTAGGACGCTAGGCACGAGCCTGGAATTGTTTCTCGCGTTACTTCGGGCTAGATTAAGGGGTTGCGGCTTTATCACTTCGATAAAATCCATTGGTGACTTGGCGGGATTTGAACCCGGGACCTCAGGGACCGAAGTCCCGCGCTCTAACCACTACACCAGCTCGCTCCTCCATTAAGTGAAACATGAAGAAATTCTTTAAAACATATTAGTCAAATATTAAAAACGTTGTCTAAGATAAATGATTTATGTACGCAGCCAACTGCAAAGCTTTGGTAAGGATTTTTTAAGCTCTATTAGAACACCAAAAGACGAATCAAATTACTTTTGAACTTGTTTCGATGATATGCTCAAATTATAACTTGTTCATTAGAAATGATATTAACATTAATTGGTTGGGGAAAAATTATAATTAAAAAAAGCAAATGACGTTAATTGGTGAGATGAAATTCCACCTCTAATAATCTAAATGGAATGAAAGCGATAAAGTAAAGCTTGCCAATATGTATAAAATAGATTTGATGGATTTCCCTTAATCCGGTATTTTTCAATCGCAATTCCCGAAAATCATTTGCGATTTCGATGAAACTGCATTCTTCACTTTGATCCTACCGATAAACTAAATCAAAAGTTTTATTTTGTTCAACTATCTCTTTTAGTTAACTGATTTTCTCTTATAATTTGTAATCCATAACGCTTAGGGCATAACAATCATACTATACATTCTAGGAATGTAATAGGATCATTTTTAGAATTTCTTACGATAAAATACCTTCGCACACTTAAAGGTCTTACCATATCAAAACGGTTCAGATTTTATGTGGTCTTATGCGCGCAGTTCTCGAAGAATAAGAAAGTTTTTTTACTTTACTTGTTTGTTTAATTATGTTGCTATTTCTATTATGGACCTGCATCTTGGTAAATTATCAAAAAAATATTTAAGTTCTTATTGTGAGGAAAACATCATTAGTGGTATTTTATTATTTTGTTAAACTATAAATAATAATAGCATTTGAAAATGTTATAGAAATATGTCAGTACACAAAAAAATATCAATTTACTATTAGGAGTAACGCAGAACCAACGTAGAACACGTTTTTTTAGACTAAATATAGTGAAAGTTTCAGCTCTCCAAATTTATGTTAATTTTTTTTAAAAGTCAAGTGTCTTAAAAATAGATTTTTTGCAAAGTATGGAATTAATAATAGCAGTAAAGCAGAAAAACTAGAAATTTAAACAATGTACAAAGTGAAATTGTACATTCTTTGCCGATGTATGAAACTATTCGTTTCGTTATGGTATATTTTCTTACGAAATTAACGGAATTAACGGTGTTTGGTCGTGGGTTATTTGTTAATTCATTGGTTTGCCTGCTTTACTTTAATATAATAAGTTAAATGATTTCTAGTTAAACGAGAGTTTAAGTTGTACTATCCTTACCTTGTTTGCTTGTATTTTTTAAGTTTTTTTTACTATTTCATGATTAACTAAATAAACTAAGCAAATGCAAATTACAGCTGCTTAAAGATATTGTAGTTACTAACACTTCCGGTAAGTTATTTGTTCTGACCCCTCCAATTATTATTTATAACTGAAATCGGATTCTTCAATGGGATATAATAGTTCGATTGGTCTTGCGATGATTTTCCCAAATCCTAATTTTATTTTGTCAAACTAACGAATATAAGCTATTGTAAAACATAAACGAGTATTTTACTATTTTTATTTATTTTACTACTTGTTTAACTGATACATAAAGCGAAACAGGTCAAAAAATGTATACACAATGTATCACAGATTCCACTTCAAGAGAACAAAACTACAATTAATTATACGATAAAACAATAAATTTTAATTAAAAATAAACGCATGACTGTGAGTGATTCAAAATACTATACTTAGACAAAATTAAATTGGTTTATTGAATTCCGTGTCATGACAACAGCTTTCATCTCAAACAAACAAATTAGACAACAACTACAACAACAAAAAATGTCTTAAAATAAAACCAATTTATATAAGATTGTATTATGATCAAATTTTAATGAATTTAAAACCAAGTAAAATATAAATGAACGGTCGCCTAAAAGGTTAAAGCCATTATAGTAGCTTAGGGGATTTAATTTAAATTTGCTGCTCCTAATGGAACCGTATCATACAAATAGGTTCTTAGTGGAATATTAGCTCTGGTTATCAGAAATAACTGCTACTGTTATCTCCTTTTCATACAGAAAATTGCACTCTAAACATAACTCGTTCCTATTTTAAGCATAACATGATAATACTCTTTGCTTCAACATTTACAGAGTATGATTTTGGTACAATGATACAATATGAAGTCAATAAATAAAATCTACTGAAAAATAGCATATTCATTGTTATTTGATTATTTATAAAAAAATTGTTTTTTTAAATTATAATCAATAATATATATTATACACTTTGTAACTTTTGTAAGTTATATCCTATTCTAGAGTAATATTTTATACTCTATGCAGTATATTAGCCAGTATATCATAACCAGCATACATTGTATGCTGGTTAAGTGTAACCTGTTGAAATAAAGGATTTTCATTTCATTTCATTTCACCTTCACATGCTAGAACCCTTGAACGGGAAGTGTTCTACACATTACTTCAGACTAGTCCAAAAGGGTCGTGGCATTATCACATAGATAAAATCCATTGATGGTTGGCTGGACTTGAATCTAGAACCTCGTGCTCCGAGGCCCCACCTCTATCCCCCTACAAATCCATTAAATTATGGATGGTACTAGGTGTCTATCAAGGTAAGTTTCCATGGAGGACTCCCTCCTAAGCATCTAAAAAGTTCCGGAAGACTTAGTTCTATTAATAACGAGTTTAAAACAAAATTAAAAAATGAATGCAAGTTAAACATAGTGCCTACATTGTAATGTAAATTTTCCTCCATGTCTACTAAAAATAGCGTTCTGCCATAAACATGTTGGTTTCTAAATATAAAACGTCGGAGGATGAAAAAAACCTTGCAGATGTATTCAAATATATGACGATTCTATACGAACTAAACAGATTTTGTGATAATATAACTACAGATTAATTTTATTTTGTTAATGTTAAGTCATAAGGAAGGTCATGGCGAAAACCCTTTTAAATCGTATACTTTTCCTCTAAAGATTTAACTGGGAATAATCATTCTCAGAAATTACTTTTTCCCTTATAATTTGAAGGTATTTAAAGCACATGATAATGCAGATAGTTTTTAAATTAAAATTATAACCCAAAGCTTATGCTATTGTTGTTTTTAGTTAAACTAATCTATATTAGCAATACGTACATACAGCTCTTTGGTAAAAACAGGTAACAGGTTAAGAAATTTTTTTTATTGGTGTTATTTATTTTTAAGGTGATATCTAAAATAATAATCGGTAAAGAGTATTTTTCTGTTTCTGAAACGTATGTCACAATACATTTACAACTTCATAAAACTTTGCTAAATAACAGTTGTGTCTGTAACTGTCTAAATAAATCTTTGTAATTCCCAAATGCAATCTAAATACGCTACCTGTTCACCTCTTATCGTAGACTTTTAAGGATTCAACAAAGAGTAACTATACTGTATATACAGACTATTGTTTTTTTTTTTTTTTTATATAAATCTTTTAATGTGATTGACGACCATAAATGTAAGTGGTTTGTAGCAATCCAAGAAAATTCTCATTATTCTTAAGAGTAATCTAAATACGAAACACGTGCGGTTCTTTGTCGACGTTGGTTTAAAGATTTAATCATAAATAAAATTCCGTTATAACTGGTTTATCTGAGATTTTTTTCTTTGTTGTCTAAATACTTTGATTATTACAAATATCTAAGTTATAGTCTGTAAGTAACCTTTTAAACTTTTTGTAACTAAAGTAATCTAAATTAACACGAGAGGTATACTTCTTTGTTTACTTCGAATTTTCTAACCGAAAACTACATTGTAAGTACTAAAGCTATAAGCAGCTCTGACGTTGGCTCCTACCGTTTTCACTGGTGCGACATCAGGAGGGACGCACTATTTTAGTCACAGTATCCAAGAGAGCACGTGGCCACGGTGCGATCCGGACGTACACTGCTCCAGACACAGGCTCCCATCCCCTCCCCTCCCTCCCATCCCTCCTGCCGGGGAGGGGGAGGCAGGCGCACTAACACTTCACCAATAATATTTTCCTTTATCTGCTCCCACTTCTTATCTCCACTGTTAAGTGCTCGACTTCTTACCAACCCTCCACTAAAAAGTCCCCTCTTTTACCCATCAGCTGAAATCTTGTAGCCCTAAAGCCTTAATCATTTCTTTTTCCGGAACAGCTGCCGACGTCAAATCCCCGGCGAGTTGTCTTAAACGCTGAATTATTCTTCCCTAATCCATCAGCCCCAATTACAACAGGGCTAATCTTACACTCTGGAATATTTTAACGGAAATTTCAATTACCGTAATTTAATTAACGGAAGTTGGATTGGATTTATCCATGAAGAGAGAGGGTTGATGGTTATTAATTGTAGAACGTTCGATTTTGTTTAAAATATTTAACGTTGATAAAAGTATATAGTAATTATTTTAGGTTTGGGTAATTTGTTGAGACTATATTTTTATTCAGTGTGGTTACATTTTAAAATGCAATGCTATATTATAAACCAAACATCTTAAGGTAATCAACTAACTATGAATGAACCTAAGGTGTAAAATTGTGTATCGCATGATTGTAAAAACATTTTTAAACTGTATAAAACCTGCATTAGCCTGATTATCAAACTTTTTTTATGTTAAACCCCTTAAAAAGGTAATTTTTCATTTTTTAATAACGCCTTAGGCATCTTTTAGTCTCTAATCCCTGCTGGTCCATTAAATTTATTTATTGTTTAAAATTATTGTTGTAGTGTTTACAAATGCATTGTAAATGCCTATGTACATACTTACCCCATTAGGAATAAATGTTGAACAGATTTTGATCTTTCAAACAAGATTGACGTCTCTGACCCATGAGAGAGAGACTCATTGTAAAGGATCTTAGATTGTCATCTTGGTTATATTGATTCGAATTCTGATATGCAAATAACTAAACAATACCAACTTAATACGATTGCAACAACAAAAAAACTTTATTGAAAAGAAACTTTTTCCTAACAATGTACCTAACGTACATGTTCTCTCACTGATTTGAGAAAGCAAAGAGGCCAATTCGCTCATCAGTGAGACAATGTTAACATTGTCTCACTCTAATTACTTTATCTCACTCCAGATTTGCAACGTGAAGGCACGTACCAATTAATTTGTTTTATGGTAACTGTAGGAAAAATATAATGTGCAACTCGACTGCAATCGCCTCACTCGAGAAACCATTCCTCACTCACCTACGGCTCATAAGTAAGGATTTCTCTCGAGTGAGGCAATATCTCACTTTGCTCACTAGTTGCACAAATAACTATACTTTTATTGTAACAATGACAACAGTAAGATAATGGGTTTAGTACAATTTTGAAACGTTAGTAAATACAACATAATTTAAGTAGTTAAATATTGTTCAAATGTAGTATACTTTAAACAGTATAATTTTGTTTCAATATATACAGTAATAATTTAAAATAGTTTGGAATAAGAATTAATTTATTTATTTATTGAGTTATGCTATTAAACTTAATAAGCTACTCAGTAAAATCAATACTTATTTTGATGCCCAAATTGTTTAACAAATTTTTATAACAACCTCTGGTTTATTAAAAACGCTTTTACATTGCTTTTGAAAAAAAAATAAATAAACGAGTGGTTCAAGACCAGAAAATGTAAATATTCAAATTAACATGATTATAATCAATATTCCATAAACTCACGTTAAGCTAATGGTAATATAAACCTGTATATTCAAATCCACAAGTTTTAAAATACAAAACCCCCGCAATAGCATCCCAACCGTACAACAAATCCCTCGCTCACAGCAATACAGCTAAAATATTCAAAGCAATAAAAATTCCATCATCTGGACTGCACGGTGTTACCATGCCAACAATAACAAGCCACAATACTACGCCAGTAACAATGAATGAAATGATCACTACAGCGCGGTATGAATGGGAATATTGTGAACAGCTGGCGCGCTTGGCCAGGCTTCAACGCCGCCTATTTATAACATGTTCCACTAGCGCTGGGCTATAATTAAGCCCCTTATTGCCCAAATATGTCATTTCTGGCAACTTAAGTGGTCATTAGCGGTGAGTGTATGCACAGTTTACAGGTTTAAACAGCTGATTGTTGAAATGTTACATGAACCTATTAATGAAATGGATTGTCTTTAGAAATATTTAGAATAAATATTTTGTCAATAGTTCTGGAAATAACGTGAGTTTTAGGTTATATATACTTAGAAAGCACATCAAAGTAGGTTTTGATACAAGAAGATGATAAAATAATAAAAGTCGAATAGATAAGACAATAGTTTCGTTTCATAGCTTTGCTACAGACTAAGGTTAGCTTTATTAAGAATCATTAAGAGGTTTACTGAGTGCAGTTGAAAAATCATGAAAATCCTCTTAAATTTCTCAGAATTTGTAGGCAAAATAATCTTATAAACTTTAAATTAGTTAAATTACTGACCACTAAAATATTTATCATAAAACTAGGCTATTGAAAATCTGAAGCTTGTTTCAGTTGTTAAGGCCGGCCATGTTTGATTGATTTTTTACTAAATGTTTTGCCTTTATTCAGAGTGAAAAAACCCATGTTTACATTTTGTATTATAAACTACGGGTTAGGCATTAAATTTAAAAGTTAAACTTTCTATTTGAGTATGTAGTAATTGTTTGTAATTGAGTTAAGCCAATAATAAATATAAATGAATCAACCAATCAAAAGTTGCTGGAATTAATCATAACATGGTTTTAAAAGCGTGACAATAGGTTAGATATGTTGTGTAATATTGATAATAGTTAACCATAACCTTAAACGAAAGAAAAAATGTGTTTTCCAAAACTAAAAATATCAGTCTGTCGAGCATTGATACGAATTTTAAAAATATTACCAATGGTCATCTTGTCCTAATTCTCTTGGTTTAAGTAAGCACACTCTTTAATAAAACGTATTTAAATTGTTTTTACTTTAACTTTTAAAGTAAAGTTTTTTTAGGTCTATAGAATATTTTCAGGTTATTTATAGTCTTTGACGATGACATATATAAATTATTGATACAATTTTTTCTGATTCTGATTCAGATTTGTTATATTAATGTTAAGTTGAGAAACTGGCCTCTTATTACGTCAACAGGGTAATTGATGTGTGTTTTGTATATTTCGTGTTTTCCGTAACTGCTGAAAGAACAAATAAAAATGCACAATAAACATAAATCCAGATGGTAAAACATGTATGAAATATTTTATGACACGACAAAAGGGGTGAAGAACTGAAAGCCCTCATCCACCCCAGTTTAGAACCCCTGCCAAAGAAGGGTAATCTCTTTCAAGAGATGCGGGCCCTTTAGTACGTAATTATAACTTTTATCTAGTGCTTATCATGAGCACATTGCGCATTTGGACAATAATTCTGCTAAAAGGGGTTGAAAATATAAATATGTTACTACAAATATAATAGGTAACAATTCTTAATCATTGATTCTTAATCGTAATCCAATACCTTACATTGAACATTTGTGGGAATAAAACTAAACACATTTACTTAAACGATAAATATAAATCAAAACTGATTTAATATTAAATTTATTTAAAGAGGGAAAACCCGGTTAAATTATGGTTTGATCAAAACTAACAAAGGGAATAGTTGTTAGATATTTCAAATTACCCAATATGACAATAAAATAGAGTTTAAACACTTGTTATCAAGATATTTAAAAAATGTAGTAAATTTTATACAGGGTGTATATAAAGTCCCGCACAGGCTAAACATTTTTTAAACGACAACATAAAAATCAATAAGATTTGGTACATCAAAACTACACCTAAATATCTACCTTTTGAAGGAACTATCAGTTTTCCGTCATATCATGAGAACGTCTGAAGAACGCTAGAAGTCTGAAGAAAATCTTAAATAAGAGCATAGTTAAGAGCATAGTTATATGTACAACAAATTAAAGGCCTTTACTAGCAGAGTTTAATGCCGCAAATTTGAACTGATACGGACAACCGAGTCAAAAATAACAGCAGTTCAAAGATTCATTGAATTGCAATGCTACCTCCTCAGGAGGAGGGCAGCCGCTAGGAATCGGAAGAAAATCATAAACTAGGTCGATATGCACATCAAATTTAGATTACAATGCCGCGAATTCAAGCTCAAAAGAACAACTGAGTAAAAATTGTCAGCCGTTCAAAGATTGAAAATGGCAGATTCAAGATATCTTTTAACGGCTACCGTTTTTGACTCGGTTGTCCGTTTGAGTTAAAATTTGCAGCATTGCACCCTGCTAATAAAGCCCTTTAATTCGATTTACATTTCAACCTATGCTCCTATTTAAGATTTCCTTCTGACTCCTTGCGGGACGAAAGAAAACTGACGGTTCCTTCAAAAAGTAGATTTTGAGGTGCAGTTTTGTTTTACCAACTCTTATTGATTCATCTGTTGTCGGTTAGAAAATATTAAGCCCGTGCGGGACTTTATTTACACCCTGTATAGTACTAAACTATTAGTAATAAAAAAAATTTGTAATAATAAGATGTAAATTATTGTGTATAGTGGTACAGATTTATTACACAAATGAAAGCAGTTGTAAATTATAATTTTATTTTTAAAGTGATGTACCGTTAATACGTTTAGGCACGTTTCAGATCCAAATGAGCGTAAAAGTAATCGCCCCACCCCCACACAAGGGTGAGGCTCGCATAATTGTCCACTTGGGTCGAGTGTACTTTAGGGGAGATTACTACTGGCCTTAAGTACAGCACCTCCCCTCCCCTAATGACTCTAACTATTTAGTCATAATTTAGGCAGCATTGACTTGATAAGATATGATTAATGTGTAGGTCTATAAAAGGTTACAAACCTCTAGAATAAAATAATATAAACTCTCGTAAAACCTAGACTAAAAACACACACATGT